ACAGCCCCGAGAGCGGCGGGGCGGGTCGGCTTGGCTTGAGCCGGGTACCCCGCGTCCTCCGTGTGCCCGTCGGTGCCGGCAGCCGCCGTGGCGCTCAGGTAAGGACCGTGCCGAGCCCCGTCGGAGGAGGAGGAGGGCCGGGCGGGGCGGGGGCGCGGGGCCGGCGCCGTTGCGGAGTGCAGGGAAAAGGGGGGTGGGGTGGGGGGGCAGCAGCGCGCGCTTCCCGCCTTGCGGCTGTCGCGAGCCCTTTCTGAGGGCACCCCGGTCCTGAGGGTGCTCCCTCCCCCCGTCCGTCCGTCCGTCCTTCGGTCTCTTCTTTGGGCCCTTCAGTCCCGGACCCAGACCGGAGTTCTCCGCGGGTCGCCCCCCGCCCCACCTCCCGGAGGTAAAAATGGAGCGGGGCGGCCGCCCGGTAACGCCCGTTTTACCTTCCCGGGGGCGGCTGCCGCTGAGGGCTGAGAGCATCTCCGCGCTGCGAACCCCTCCGTGGGATGTGAACCTCTGTCCTCTCCTGCCCCCACCCCTAAGCTTCTCTAAGGGGATCTGCGCGGCTGAACAAAGAGCGTTGTGTGAGGCGAGGGCTGTAAGCGCTGTTAATTTGCATAGGGGAAGGGGGGGAAAAAAGAAACCCCACCACCTAAAAAAAATGTATTGCACGGAACGGGGAGGAAACAGCCGCGCACGGGAGCCCGGCGGCGAACAATGCCTTTTTATGTAGGAGAAAATGATGTAAAAATGTGCCCGGCTCAGATGGCTGCAGGTAGGAGCCGCAGGCGTGTGCTGCGCTGCGCTGCCGTGGTGCTGCACCGAGGCGCCCGATGAGCCGAGCTCGCCTTCCTCTGCCCTACCCATCCCAGGGAGACACCCCGACCTGCCCGACCGATAGGATGTGCTCTGTGGAGCACCTTCGGGAAAGAAGGGGGTGTGCCGCATGCCGGGAGAGTTGCTCTCCGTGCGGAAAGATACCAACATGGTCAGTTTCTCTGGGTTTAGCACTTTCGGTTTTCTTCCGAATAAAAACGTTCTCTTGTGGTTTTGGTGGATTTTCGTGTAGGATTCTTCCCGAGACAGAGGTGTAGGTTTTCACTTGTAAGTGAGCATTAGCGTGGAGAGTAGCATTTTAACATAGCAATTAACAGAATAGCAATTAACATAGCATTAACATGCGGTAGAATGGGATGTATGCACATGTATGTTGTAAGTCTTACTTATTCTAGGTCTCTAGCATCAATGTTCCTAATTTGTCATGTCTCTGCGGTCATGCCAATAAATCATACTCCATCCTTCCTCAAAAAATCACTTGCTGTCCAGCATTTGTGCTGCTTATTGTTCAGAAAACCTGTCCCTTTTGTTTTCAGAAGGGTTCTTCCTTGTGAGATTGAGCCACATATTCTTTTGGTTCTCTTTCTTCCCATTTTCTCCACAAACCTTTGATTCCTCTCCATGAAAGAGCCTGTTTCTTTTCACCTGTGCTAGTTTAGACTGGCAGGGATGTCTAGACTACAGATCTTGTAGCTGAAGGACTCAAGAAGAGGCTCGGCTGCAGAATGTATTTATTTTTCTATAGCTTCTTCCCCTTATCTCCTCACTGAATGGCGTCAGCGTCTCAGCCCTTGCCTGGAAGAGAATGTGCTGAGAGGGCACGACATAGTGAAGTTGTCCCTGAGTTACGTCATCGATCACGAAGAAGTGATTCATGAACAGTGAAAGACTGGCCACTTCCCCTGAGCGTGCTACAAGCTCTCTTCAGTTAGGGTGAAGGCAGTCCAGCTAAGTTTGTGGATGGTTGTTTATTTCTCCAGCTGATGTTCTGAAAGTGTGATATGTACAGAGGAGCCCAGACTCACCTGTGTAGTGCCTAGGACTGGGAACCACCAATGCCTCACTGTCTGTTTCATTTACAAGACACTGGTGGTGCGCTCAGCAGTGGGCAAGACCTCGGTCTTCATTGGTACCAGTTTCCTGGAGCTCAGGCATTTACAGGTGAGCTAAAGGAACACACTGAAAATAACCCCAGTGGCTTTGTGAGGCTGTTCTGCATGGTAATGAAACACACAGGTGAGCCCTGGCACGGGGCTCTGGGAGCAGGGATGATCTCAGCAGTGCTGCATGGTGCCATAAATTCTGTCTCTTCTCATCTTTTCTTATCTCATCAAGGGACAGGATTTGGTTTTTGGAACTTTTCAGTTTGTTGCACCCGTATTGCACATTTCCTGTGGGTATTTGAGAGAAGCCAAAGAGCTGTCATCCTGAGAATCAGATGTTGCTGTTCTTGTGGAGAGTTTTAGCACACTGGAGGGCAGGTCATTGTGCTTATAATGCAGTTTGTTACGTAAAGCAGCATTTGCAGCCTTGATGTAGAGGACTGATGTAATTATAATAGTATGTTATATCATACCCACTTAGCTGTGTTCTTTAATATGCGTGGATGATAAAGAAATAGTTGTAATTTAATGACCCCTAAGGTGCTGTGCCTAGGCAGGAGCAATCTGATCACAACAGTCCCTAAATGAATTGCTGCATTCTGTGGGTTAAGAATTCCCTTGTTGCTAGATGTTTTTTCCAGAAGCATACCTTTCCTTTCAGTTTGTCATGCTCCTTTCTGTACAAGTTACCATTTGCTAAACCATATACCTAAATTCACAGAGGAAGCATTTGCTGTGTGTGCTGACAGAGCAGGCTCTGGCACTGTGCTCACTTAACAACGGTCTGTGGAAGTTGCTAGAAATATCTAACCACAGAAACAGGGCTGAGGCCCATTGCAGATTCTGCTGGGCTGTTTCAGCTTCACCTCCCAATGTGGCATGTCACACATGAGTTGGAGACAGGTTTGTTTTCTTAATGGGGTTGGAAGAAGAAGAAGAAGTAAAAAAGGATTTAGGTTGTGAGGACTTTATGACGGAGGCTTTCCGAAAGTCACCTTTTGATTACTGATGTCTCTACAAAGGCACAAGGGACTGACAGAGCTTGTAACATATCTGCAGCATATGAAGGATCTGAAGTCTGATCTGCCATAATGGGACAAATGATAATCAGCTTAAGAAAGGAAAATAAAAGCTCTACTGGTGCCTAAAGCCTGAGTTCCTTACAGATATTTTGCCTACAGTGCAGGCAGTGGCTGTGCTGAGAACTGATCTGGTAAAACTTCTGGCTCACGGTCAAAGAAAAAAAAAAATCCACCCCTTGGCTTTATCTGGATTTCAGAAAAGGCATTTCTGGCTGCAGGACACTTGAAACTGAATTGGAGCCTTAACTAGGAAGGGATTAGGGAGTGTTGCATTTAAGATGCACACAAATAATGACCAGAAATTTGGAAAGGTGTAATAGGGGTCCTAAGACTAGGTGACTTCCAAGGTCCTTTCTAAAATGAGTTATCTGATGATCTAGATATTTTGGGTTTTGTGCTATCTTTAAGTCCATGTGTGCACTTGATGAAGAAATAAAGGTATGCATGTGCAGATATGTAGAATTGTTCCTTAAGACCCAAGGATGCTTGTTTTGATCCATCTGTATTTATTCAGTTCAGACACGTGCTTAATTGTGCTTGAAAGTCAGCTTTAGGCACGTTTAAAAATTAAGCATGTTTTTACAGAAAAGACAATGTATTTTATGAAAAGAGAAAGAGGATAAGTTCATGTTGTGTGAGCTCAGTGTTGTAAACCCCTTGATGATATTTAGAGATACCAAGTACTTCAGAGAAAGCATGGAAATGTGCAGTGTTCTCTGATACCATGACACGGCTTATCTCTTCCCAAACACACCTGCACACACTAAGGCAGAGTATGGGTGGGTCCTGACATATTTAGGGTTGGTGCTTTTCTTCCATCCTTCTGTTTCATATACAGGTGTGCTCATTAGCAGCAGTTCTGTACTGCATCTCAGTTAATAAGAAAAAACAGCATGAGACTTATTTCCGTGGGGTGGAGCTGATTTAGAGGATTGGTGCTGGAAAACAGAGATGGTTTAAGCTGCCTGCCTCAGTAAAGGAAAAAGCTTTCATTTTGTGGGAAGGTTTAATAACAGGTTATGCTACTAAACTATACAAGGGTGTTTTAGAGGGACGTTCAGTGTGACATTTGTAATTGCTTTCTAGGTATCAGAGGAAAGAACTGATGTATCCATGGGGTTAATTTGGATTGTTGTGGCCACATGGGTTACTGTACTAGCTGTTAAGAGGATTTGAGGTCTTGATTGACCCATTTTACTTTAACACTAATTGTTTGCTGTTGTATTAAGGAGAAAAGATGAGCTAATCCTTATGGTTTTACACTCACTTCTGTTTTTCCCTACAGCAGTCTCACAGATGAAACTGATCTTTGTTCTTTTGTCTTGATTGGGGAGGTGGCAGAAAGGGATAACAGACATCAGCTTCAGAGCGTTAGTGTTTGTACTCAGTATCCTTCATCTTTGTTAGGGTGCCAGTTTGAAAGGAATTATGGTGAAAAGGTGTGGCTTGGTCAATTCTCTTTGTTTTCTGCAGTCTGTGAGACAGGTTAGTGCTGGTTGATAGGCTGGACCAGTGTTATGATACGCTGTTTCTCTTCTAGCATTTTTAAAGTACACTTTTTTCTAACTTTCTGTGATGTAATAAGACTATTTATTACACTACAGAAACAATTTATTTAGCACGTGATGCTTCCAGATAAAATATATGTGTTTCGTAAAATATATATATATACAAAAATTTAGAAAAATATAAGTATATAAAAAAATATGTGTTTCATATAGTAAAAGGGAGACAATGGCCTTATTACAACCAGCAGGGTTAAGTGGTGAAAATCAGAAAATCAGAAACTGTGATGAGCTCATTGAATGTGTACCTGACTTGCACCATCTGGAAAGAGACAATGCCATTTGCAGCTCTGTTTTCTGATTACTGAAAATCTGGGGTACTTTTTGAATTCATGGCAATAATCAGTTTACACCTGACAGTTCTTAAGTTATGGATTTGTAGGTAGAATTAAGGTCCTCTAGCAAATTTTCCTCCTTTATTTATACTTGGCACTCATGGGTATGAGGAGCTGAGGAACATTCCTTGTCTTGTCAAGCCCCCAGCAAGAAGTAGGAAGATTTCTTTTAGTACTTCTAGTAGTTTTAA